ACTTGGGCCTGCAAAACCGGGCCAGTTATTTATTACTTGTGCACTGAAGTAGTGCCTAGGGGGTCCACTCAAGGACCAGGACCTGTACAGCCACACAACACAAAGATGGTCCCTGCCTGAAAGAGCTTACAGACTATTTCTCGCAACATTTTAGGAGATTTTAGGGAGAGTGAGGCTAACATGACTCCGCTACCCCACACACAAAAAGAGGAATTTCAGGCCAGCACAACCCTTCCCAGAAGAGACGGGGGAGCCCAGGCCTATTTGTATGCAGGAGAGGGAAAGTCCTAGGGATCCTGAGAAACTCCAATAAAGCATTATCTACAGCCCAATGGGTGGTCGTTCTGGACAGATGAGCATTGTTATAGCTGGGAGGATGAAGCACAGCACAGTAGAACTGGAGTCTCTGGTGGTTCTGTCCTTGTATCAGTGACGACTCTTCTCTTGGTCACCTTCTGGCTGGCACAGCAGTAAGGAAGGCTTGATGTTCACTTTCTCTGGTATTCCTAGGTACAGAGGTGAGAGGCTCTCCCGTCTCTGCAGAGTATGTTCCAGCTCCTCTCCCACTGCTGGTCTAGGCTGCATGCCATACAGGAACCAATCAGGTAATCCCCCAGGACCCAGTTGCCTCATGACATTTTGTATGTTAACTGCCCACAGCTTTGTGTTAGAAATGAATCAGTGACTGATGGGATGTCTGACCCTTTGCTTTGTCTGGGACAAAGAGAGAGCCCCATTTCTCCACCCCATAGGACTGTCCATGTTGTCAGAGAGGGAGTGTGTTGCATTGTGATGTTTCCAAGCTCTTTGCTTTACCCGTCAAAATAGTGTTAATGTTAAAATATGTTAGAAACAATGAAGAAAATGTTATTAAATTGAAAACCAGATGGGAAAAGATTTAAAGGTCATATCTCACTCCTGCGCTAGACTGGTATGTTCCCTATGCATGCAGAGGACATAAATTCCATTTCACGAAAGATTTCAAAATCTGGCGTTGTTTCAATTTGAAACATACCTGAAAATTTAAAAATTCTCCACAGAGGAAAATTCTGAAGAATTTTCACTCCAGGTTGATTGATATGTTTCCTTTCAACCAAATCCAAAATGTTTTAATTTTGACTTTATTTTATAATACAAAATAAAAAAATTCTAAACACGCATTTAAAAATGTAAATTCAAAATGTTTAGTTTGGAAAATGAGGGAAAGGGATGTTTTGTCTTTGTTGGAACATTTTTCGCTTTTTCTCTGAAATGAAATTTTTGGTGGAGAGGACATGATTTCCTGAAGCATTTCGATTTAGATGGAATTGAATCTTCTGATGGAAAATGGTTCTATTGAAGTTTTTTCTGACTAGCTCTATTGTCCAGTGTTTTGTTTAGTTTTAGGCTAAAATGACCACGCAATAAAGTTTTCACCATTTACATTGGGGAATAGTACCCCTAAAGAAATAGATCTCGGTGCTAGCAAATGTTCTCTGCTATTTAGCCTTCGCTCAGTTTCATCCCATTACTTTTAGTGAGAGCTGAATTCTGCATTTTGTGATAGTATTAGGAATTCTTGCTTTTAAAAAAAAATTCATGCAGTGATGCGCTACCAGTATTTTAATGCAGGGGTCCCACAAAAGTGTCCCCTTAGCCTGCAATGAGCCATGTATCCCCAGCACATACACCTCAGTAATACAATTAATTGGTTTTCCCATGTGAACAAAATCACTGTCTCCTAGCCATGGAAGGAGACAGCTGCACTTTGCTAGAGATGTCTAGACTGCTACAGCAGGGGTCACCGGGTAGCACTGTTACACATAGTCTTACGCCTTCTTTTTCTTAGCATGTGAGTTAAGGTTCAGTCTCTGAAGAGATGTCATTGTTAGTTTTGTTGTTGCAGATTCTTTAGGGGAGCTGTGGAGGTAGCAGGAGACTTTGCCCTCTGCCTTCATGGAACTAGGCCATTGTTGAGGCAGAGTTGCTCCCTGGGAACTAGGCATTGGCTAGTGGGCAGAGATCCCTGAAAGAAGGGATTGCCTGCATGCTGTTTATGAGTCCCTCCTCCATGGGGAAGCTTACGTGCAAGGCCCCAGATATGCTACTGCTCAGCAGAGGGACAATTCTTTGGGCCAGATTCTCCTTTGCCTTGTACCTTATCTAGTTATTTACACCTGTGCAAAGTGGATGTAAAATGCTCCCAAATCAGAATGTTTCACTCCCACACGTCAGCAGGAACGGTTTGTAGGCAGCCTTGCAGAGGTGCAGGGTTAGGAGAATCAGGCCTTTGTCCCTAATGCAATAATTGAATGGGGTGGGTTGGGGACTCCTTCCCCTAGGAATGTTTTTGAAAATATCTGTCATTTGGCACTATCTCATGGGTCAGTAAGGAAACACTGAGCTCCTCAGCAGGATCTTTGAGCCCCAAGGATAAGTAATCTCTTTCAGGGGGGATTAGCCATGTCCAGTGAAGGGGTGAGCTTCAGCAGAGGCAGGGGAATCGCCCAAACCTCCTTCAAAATTAGTGGCAGAACTAAAACAAGGAGTTCCCCTCCAGCTCATCGCTGTGCTCAGGTCTTGGGAATTTTCTTGTCTGTTGGGACAATGAGTAAAGAAGAATAAAATAGGAGGGGGAAGGTCCCCACCTTAGGTGGCTGTTGGCCCAGGTCTCAGCATCACGGGGCAAAGTGGCATTGATGCATCTTGGGGTTACAGCACTAGAGAAGATGTGGGTCTGACAGGCACTCCTGTGCCCAGGGTGCTGTGTGTGATGTATGTCTGGGGGCAGAACTTTGTCAGGGCATAGCCCTGGTGCTCCTTACCCCCATTCCTGTAAATGCCATTGTTTCGACTCTCTCAGGATAGATGGGGACTCTGCATTGATGTAAACACCAATGTAAGGGGAGGGTCCAGGAGAGAGGGGCTCTGTCACAGGGACCAGCCTTTTCAAGGGAGTCAGGGACCAGCTACCTGTGACAGGCCTGTAAGGGAGAACGAGCCAACCCAGGCCCCTTGGCAATAATTAAATCCCTAGGTGGCTGGTTGGCAGCTGATTAGCTAATAAGTCTGATAAAGGGTTACCAGGGCTCAGCTGAGGTGGTTCCTAGAGACAGGAACTTGCAGCAGAGTGGGAGCAGGCCTGGCAGGTGTGCGCCAAGGGGCAAGGAATTCCCAGGCAGTGGCAGGAAGCCTTAGGCTGTCATGAGTCCCCAGAGGAGAGATGCAGGAGGCAGGCCCCTGGCTCTGGGGAAGAATTCTGTCCAGGTAGTGGCAAGAGGCCTTGCTCCAGGGAAGGAACCCAAGCCATGAGAACCCTGCTGGAGGGGACAATCCTGGGCTGGCCCCTAGGGAACAGACTAAGGATGTTTTTTCTGTGTTACTCTTTTACCCTGCCCTCATCCTCAGTGATCCACTCTATGTCCACAAAGGGCCAACTTCCTCCCTGCTCTAATCCCATGAATTCAGGGGAGTTATACCAGGGAGAACTAGACTCAATGAGCCCTTAGGAGAATTCCTCACAAGATGGTGGCTGTAAGTGTTCTCCCCAGGAATTGAAATTAGGGGGATGTTCAAATTTACAGGGGGTGGGCAGGGCTGATGGGAGGTGAGACCGTGAGAGTGAAGCTGGGCTGCATGGCACCATAGTAAAAACTGAAAAATGTTTCATGACCATTTTATTAGATTTTAAAGTCATCACACAAATTAAAGTTGGCTACTCAAGCCTTCTATGAAGCACTACATCTACATCCTTCTTGGTTTCTTGTTATAATTTTGCACAACTCTGCTAATGAACTTCTTGAATGCAATGCATTCATCTTTGGTGGCTTCTCATATGTCCGGTACTTCCATTCCTTCAATTGATATCCTCATTAGTTCATTCACATGATCAGGCAGAAGGCGACTTCTTTCAAAATGCAAAATTCTATTCAATGATGAAAAAGAATGCTCAGCTGTAGCTATTGTGACTGGGAGTAGCAAGAGATGAATTCCTACTTCTTTCAGCCCCAGAAACATAGCATAAAGATTGGGTTGAGCCACAAGTGATGATAAAAAAGAAGTTGAAGTCAAATCTTCATTCATTCGTCGTATGATATTCCACTCTGTGTTCAAATTCTCTATTCTGTCCTGAGCACATGGCAGCCCCATTGCTGGTAGTGCCTCACTCCACTCAACTGTCGATATTTTATAAGACAGTAAAAGCTATGTAGAGGTTGGGTAGAATCTAGAAGTCGCTGTTATAGATTTTTAAGAATCAAGTCTGTACTTTTTCAGTTGTCTTAACAAACACTTCTTGTCCTCTTCACTTAAGGATTCAATATAAATGCCTTCATTAGTCAACTTCTGGACTGAAGTCTTTGCTTCTTCCAGTACTTTTTCAATGGCTAGCTCTCTGATTGATCCAAATGTAGCTTCTATTGCTGGACAAAGATCTACTCCTGTTGTAGCAGATGCCTGGATGGCATTGTTTAATGACCCAAGTGGTTTTAACAGTAGACTTACAAGAGAGAGAATGGCAATAGTCTTCTCTGAACATAGTAGCAAAAGTAATCCACCAGCCTCACTACTTAGATCCATCCCATCTTGGTAGATACTTTCCAAAGTCAGTAATAATGGCTGGAGTAATTTTAAGACAACAGCCCAGGATTGCTCATGAGAAAGCCAGAGGGTTTTCCCAGGTTGGACTAATTTGAACTTCAGTCCCAGTGTATCTTCTACATTTTCCAAGATATTCAGTCTTTTTGGACTCTTGCTGAAAAAAGAATATAATGAAGACATTAAATGTATAGCTTTTTAAATGTCTTTTGAAGAGTCTGCAACTCATACTAGTGCTAGTTGGAGTAGATGACCTCTGCAGTGTGTATAGGAGAGATTAGGGTTACACTTTTCTCTGAGCAAAGCTTGTGCTCCACCATGTCTTCCAGAGACATTTGCAGCTCCACCAAATGCACAAGCAGCCATCTGTTTGGGGTCCAATTGACAAGCATTTAACTCTTCTAAGATGTGCCTTGTCACAGATGCAGCCAATCTGTCTTCTATAACTTGAACATCTAGAAATGCATCTACTGGCCTACCACTGACATCAAGATAAAGTACACAATAACTTAATACTTGATGCCCATTTGCAGTGGTGCATTCATCAGCCATGTATGTACATTTTTTGAATGTGGTGAGAGAGTTCTTCACTTTTTCAACTGTTGAGTCTTTCCCTGTTGCACCACATGTGTCTAGCCTGTCAGTTGAGTTTCTTGCAGAAAGATAGTGCGCATTTGCTGATCTTGTTCGGAACCAGTGTTCAACTTCAGGATGAACAAGTGACAATGCACTTAACATTGGCCTCCAGTTTGTAGTGTGTGGTATCTCTTGTTTAAATAGAAAGTATGATGCCACAGCCATGTTTGTTCGCATGAACTATGTTGTGTCTCCAGCATTCTTAACAGCCTCATTAAGACTCATCAGTGTTGTCCTTGGTCAGTGGAGATTCAGAGTTCAGAGGTGCTTTCACATGAGTTCACATGAGGTGGGGGGCAAGAAGGTACCTTGTTCGTTCCTCCAACTGCTCACTGTTCGTTCTGGCCACTGTTGATCATTGTGCCACCGTTCACTCCATCGATCTGTTTCCAATGGCCCTGCGCCATCATCTTCTGCTGCCACCTGCCACTGTGACCTCTGTGAGCTGGTCTCTTGAGGTTCCACCCAGCTCTCAGTGATTTCAGCTGAGCTCTCAGTGGGGGAACCTCGTTGCTAGTGCAGACTGGGCCGTCTCTTCCACAGAAACACTGTCCCACAGCTGGTTTAAGCACTTAGACCTGATTTCAGCTGTAGTGGTCACTTAACAAAACAAAAGACTGTCTATGGAGCCTAATCAGCTCTGTCTTTAAACAGTGGAGAGGGGCAGGTCAAATAGTACTTGTGACTCAGGCAGACCATCAAGCAAAACGCCTGTCCCCACCCTCTCTCTTGATGCCCTCAATCAGCGCAGGGTAAGTACAGTTCTACTGCCCTTTGCTCATACAATAAGAATAACACATTTCATACTCTTCCCCGCCCCCCCATGCGCGCATTCAAGTGATTTGTAACCCAACCCCAGACAAAATCTATCACTTGGGCAACGTAGCTCTGTTTGCTGGATACCTAGGTAGATTAGGTGTGAATGTAAATACAGTCTGATCCTGAAGCCTTTCCCCCCAGCCCCAGCTCACCACTAGCTGTCAGGGAGAGCTCATTTAGACTTTGCTTACAAATCATAATCTGAAATTATTAGGTTGGCCAACATCACCTAAATGAATGCACTGACATTGTCATAAAAAACAACAGCGGTATAAGGAAACTAGTCTATGTTCATACTTTTCAAATCTATTATACTTTTTCAGATACACTAATTTTATGATACACTTTATATGCTTTTAAAGTGTGTATTAATGTTTCAATTTCAATTCAAATTTCCAAACAATCACTAAACTGGCAACATTGCATGTAACTAGTTCACAAAACTGGGAGGGGGAAGGTGTTGGGGAAATTCGGGGGCGGGGGGGGAGGTTAGGGAAATCTCTGTTGGCTGTGATGACCATTTCAAGTTGGAAACCACAGTCCCATAGCTTGGAGGGGAGAATATCTCCTCGGTGCGGGCTAACTTTGTTTTTCTTCCTCATCAGGAAAGTGACCCTCCTTGTCGTGGGCCTGGACAATACAGGGAAAACCTCCCTCATAATGGAGATACAGAGAGGTGAGGAGCTAATTGTCTCCGGTTACTGCTGGAATCTGGGGATATGTCTATGCTGCTGTCAGAGGTGAGAGCGCAGCATGTGTTGACATATCCGAGCTAGCTTTGATCCAGCTATCTCCAATAACAGCAGGACTGAAGCCACCACCAGCAGCAGGGTCTTGGGCAGGGCTGCACAGCCCAGGCTGCTACCTGCAGTACCTCAGCTTTGTTGCTGTGTCTACCTGTGCTGCAGTCACACCTCTGATTGCAGTGTAGACATACCCTGAGTCTCAGATGAACTGACATGACGCCAGAGGCAAAGAGTTTATTGTTCTTTGCAAATAACTTCAAATCTCCCCATCACTGAGGGGATAAATCTTTCTGTGCTTCCAATTATTCCCCTCCATCCTCTGCAGGAGGCAGCATCGTAATAATCCTGTGAGGTCAAAATTGGATCCTAATTGTGTCTTTATGCTCTGGTAGCAGAGTTTGACTTTCTCATGTCTATTAGGTAACTTTATGTAGCTGACATTGTTTGTCTAAGTCCAGCCTAGGGAATGTGGACTCGGACAGTCTATATCACTCACTCTCTGCGGGGCTTGAGGACCAAGCCACTGCTGAGCATCAGAGATATGAATTCACTGCATCAGGCTGTTACACAGGATGCAGGCGTATAGCGTGATGCATCTAGACTTGCAGAGTGTCTGGAATACAACAGCCCCTTCCGCAGAACTGGGATTTAGACAGCCAGATGCAACAGAAATGGGGTATCCACTCAGGTTAAACCTAGGGGATAAGATCGACAGGCCTCAGTCCCTGGGATTCCTGCCAACCCATTTGGCCACTCTAAAACAATCAACAGAGTCATGATATACTGCTAGGATTAACCTAACCTGCCATTGCACAGTAGGAAAGAGGGTGACAGGATGGGGCTATTCCCCCCTCCCCCCAGGCCATGTGCCGAGGCCAAATCTGCCAGGATTTAGGATAGGTCTCTGAACAGGGGTGTCACAGAGCAAGGAGACAGGTTTCAGAGTGGTAGCCATGTTAGTCTGTATCAGCAAAAACAACGAGGAGTCCTTGTGGCACCTTAGAGACTAACAAATTTATTTGGGCATAAGCTTTCGTGGGCTAGAGCCCACTTCATCAGATGCATGAAGTGAAAAATACAGGAGCAGGTATAAATACATGAAAGGATGGGGGTTGCTTTGCCAAGTGTGAGGTCAGTCTAATGAGATAAATCAATTAACAGCAAGATACCAAGGGAGGAAAATAACTTTTGAAGTGGTAAGAGAGTGGCCCATTATAGACAGTTGACAAGCAGGTGTGACAGGTTTCAGAGTAGCAACCGTGTTAGTGTGTATCCGCAAAAAGAATAGGAGTACTTGTGGCACCTTAGAGACTAACAAATTTATTTGAGCATAAGCTTTCGTGGGCTACATCCCACTTGAATAGATATGTGGACAGAGTTGGCATCGGGCTTTGTTGCAAGGATAGGTTCCTGGGTTAGTGTTTTTGTTCAGTGATGTGTGGTTGCTGGTGAGTATTTGTTTCAGGTTTGGGGGGGCTGTCTGTAGGCCTGGCCTGTCTCCAAAGGTCTGTTAGAGTGAGGGATCATCCTTCAGGATAGGTTGTAGATCTTTGATGATGCGCTGGAGAGGTTTTAGTTGGGGGCTGAAGGTGACAGCTAGTGGCGTTCTGTTACTTTCTTTGTTGGGCCTGTCTTGTAGTAGGTGACTTCTCAGTACCCTTCTGGCTCTGTCAATCTGTTTCTTCACTTCACCAGGTGGGTATTGCAGTTTTAAGAACGCTTGATAAAGATTCTGTAGGTGTTTGTCTCTCTCTGAGGGATTGGAGTAAATGCAGTTGTATCTTAGCGCTTGGCTGTAGACAATGGATCGCGTGGTGTAGTCTGGATGAAAGCTGGAAGCATGTAGGTAAGTATAGCGGTTAGTAGGTTTCCGGTATAGGGCGGTGTTTATGTGCCCATCGCTTATTAGCACTATAGTGTCTAGGAAGTGGACCTCTTGTGTGGACTGGTCCAGCTGAGTTTGATGGTAGGGTGGAAATCGTTGAAATCTTGGTGGAATTCCTCAAGGGCCTCCTTCCCATGGGTCCAGATGACGAAGATGTCATCAATGTAGCACAAGTAGAGTAGGGGTGTAAGGGGACGAGATCCGAGGAAGCTTGTTCTAAGTCGTCCATAAAAATGTTGGCATACTGAGGGGCCATGCAGGTACCCATAGCAGTTAGGCTGACTTGAAGGTATAAATTGTCCCCAAATCTGAAATAGTTGTGGGTGAGGACAAAGTATTTATACCTGTTCCTGTATTTTTCACTTCATGCATCTGATGAATTGGGCTCTAGCCCATGAAAGCTTATGCCCAAATAAATTTGTTAATCTCTAAGGTGCCACAAGGACTCCTTGTTGTTTTTACAGAGCAAGGAGTTTGTGCTTCAGTTTGACCTGAAGTCATGATGCTGACCAAGACTGACTTAATCCCTGCTTGAATCACCTACTTTAAGACAGGAAATGGATCTGAAACAGCCATAGCCTACAGCAAACACAGTCCTAGGATTAACCTACCTACAGTATTTTTCTGGCCCCTATCACTGGGCTATCTGTACTACCTTCCAATCTGTAATGCAGTTATCCTTTCAGGGCCATCCCGTTATCCCCATTTTACTGATTGGGGAATGGAGGCAGAGGGGGACTAAATGACTCACCTGAGTCACACTAGCCATCTGTGGCAGAGTAAGGAATTGAACCTGGGTCTTCTAAGGTCCAGGCTAGTGCCCTAACCACTGGACCACCCTACTTTAACTCCAGGGGCTAAGGGCCTGAGAACTCCCTGGAGTGTCCATAGAGAATGTAGTCCTGGTGTTTCCCAGAATTGCCAATGTATCCCCTTTAAATGAGAACAGGAATGTAGCTGAAGGGGGTTAATGCTAATACAGGGGATCCTTGCTATAAACCATATCTGGGAACAAGGGATAATAATGTTCAGTGTTTGTCTGGGGGCTGCATGTGTGTTACTGTGTGTGCTGTTCTCTCTGCAGTGCTCTCGTGTGAGGTGCTCCCCACAACAAAGCCTAACCAGACAGAACTCAGAGTGGACCGGTTTGAAGTCTCCCTTGTCGACCTATCTGGGGGGCAGAGGTTGCGGGGCACATGGCGTAATCACTACGGTGACACTCACGGGATTATCTTTGTTCTGGACTCCAGCGATGTGCTGCGGATGGAAGAGGCCAAGAGAACCTTGAGCCATCTTCTGGCTCACCCTAGGATTTCAGGGAAGCCCCTGTTACTGTAAGGCTACCTCTCCCTTGCATTGAAATGCTCCTTGGCCATTCCAGTAAACGGGGTTACTGCACATCCAGGCAGGAACCTCAAAGGCAATATTCAGGGATACCAGTGCTGAAACAGCATGTGTGAGGGGCACCCAGGATCGGAACGAATGAGGGAGATGAATTAAGAGAGGATTGTCCCTTTGGATTAGGGCTGGTGGGGTGATTAGAAAGAAGCACAGTGCAGGTGAGACCAGCACGGAGTGAAAGTAGGATAGTTCTGCAGACCCCACTTCTCTTGTGTTCTCTGCAGAATAGAGCTGCAGGTGCCTCAGTGATGATCATTAGTTATATTGCACAGAGATGTGCCTGGCATGTTGCAGGTGCATAAAGAAGGTCCCTGCTCCATGGAGCTGTCAGTCTAAACTGGGTGAAGAGACAGTAGGGTAGAGGGGTTCATGGGTTCCCACACAGAGCAGATAGTACATCTGCTTAGTCTTGTTGGTTGCCATTGGGTCTCCTTAAGGTGTCTGAGTTTTAACATGACTCAGCAGTTACTGTAGTATGGTGGGTTATTTTAGGGAATGAGACAGGTGCAGCTTATCTGGGAGACTCTGCCAAGCATTGGGGTGATGGTACGCTCCCCATAGGACTCTGTGCTCTGAGTGTTAACTGGGCCTGGCTGACACGATGCAGAAAGAAAAGCCCAGCCACACGGTTCTGTTCACATCAGTTTGGAACCATGGCTTTGTGTTCCCTCAGCTTAGCACATCCTGAACTGCTCTGGAAATGTTGGTGGCAACATGTGAACAAATAGGCCCTTGTCACTGAGCCCCTCAGTCCTATCTCATAGTGTCTCCACCAGTCCCTTGTGTTCCATTGGCATGGTGTCTGTACTGCCGGGATGGATGGGACAAAGCAGTTAGTCTGTGAAGCGGGGGGCGGCGGCAGAGCATGACAGTGGGTTATAAGGAAAGGGTGGGGGCCCAGGCTCAGGGCTAGGTGGAGGGGCCAGTCCTGATCCCACTGAGGTGAATGTAATTTTTGCCATTGACTCAAACAGGAGCAGGCCTGGGGTGAAGTGAATGTTAGGGATGAACAAAGCCTACCCCAAATCACAATTGTGCATTTGGAACCATGAGCCAGTTGGGGGTTCTCCTGTCCATGTGACAGAGACTGTGGATTCCATCCCTCTGCTTCAGCAGTCCCAAACTTTCACATGGTCCTCTCCACTCTAGAGATAAGAAGTTTGTGTAGTTAAAACCTGTCCCTGCCAGGCGTCTAGGGAAACTTTTGGGGGCTTTTGACAGACTCTGCCAAACCCAAAGTGAAGCTTCTTGCTGCCTCAGATTTGTCTGAGTTTCTGCAGCTGAGTTTGGTGGGTTTGTTTGATCCCATTCTAGAGCTTGGGACAGATGGTCACAGAGTGGTGGTCTGGGCTGAACCAGGCCCTTGCAAGCTCCCACAAGCTCATACATGAACCTCACTGGCTGTCTTTGGAATTTGCCATGTTGCCTTTGAATAAACCTCAAACTGCAGGGTTACCAAATCATGCCAACCACCCTGGACAAGCTCCCCACAGCACTAGCCTGGCTCCACCCCCCCTCAGGAGTGAGACTGAAGAAAGACAATGTTGAGCTACTGTAGGGGCTCTGCTGGCCAGTGAGGTCTTGTCCTTCTCTCTCCTTCCTCCCTTCTCATTGCTCCCAGGCTGGCCAATAAACAGGACAAGGTTGATGCCCTCCTCCCATGTGAGCTGATCGAATGCCTGTCCCTGGAGAAGCTTGTGAACGAAAACAAGTCACTGTGCCGCATCGTAAGTGTGAGAAGGGTTTGACCAGCTTGATGTAGTTGGCACCATTCCCACCGATCTCATTCATCTTCATGCTTATACAGGAATTGTGACTCCAGAGAACGCTTTATTCTGTGGGCCTTTTGCCATCAGCATCAAAGGGAATTATGTAGAGGGGAGGTAACATGGGCATGTGGAACATGCAGACCAGCACTGTCAAAAGTGCCCAGTGATTTTTTGGAGTGGCTCATTTTCTTGGAGCCCAATTTGAGATACCTTGGGCCTGAGCACCCGCAGCTCCCACAGTCTTGCACCCCCATACTAAGGGGGCTTAAGCTGGGCTCCTGGCACACAAAATCAGTGGCCATTTTTGAAAATTTTGGCCATAGTATTTTTGGAGAGACCCTTCATACAGAGCCTCATGTTGAGTAGGGGGAGTGATGGGACCAGCTCCCAGGACATCTGGGAGTGCCAGGGGAGGAAGATGCATGGCCCCATGAGCATCTCTGCATCAGCCCCTGCAGTAAGGCACTGGGATGTGAATCTGGCAGATACACAAGCAAAGGTTCCCTGGGAATTATAAACATTTCTCCTCATTTTATGCCACCACCTCAGCATTGGTGAGGACATTAAAGGACATTATTTATTCGGTATCTAGTGTCCTATCACCAGTATTTAACAGGGAGCGGCTGAGAAGCATTTGGCCTATGAAGAGGGGTGTACTCACCATCTGTAGCATCCCCTTGTGTCAAGGCACAATGCTGTAAGAGGTCCTCATCCCCGGTGCCTCCTACTGGATGCCTGCCTCTCGCCAGGTCTTGCGTGGCTCAGCCCTCCAGCCAAGTCAAAATCCAAACCCTCCAGGGGCAACAAAAAAGTCCACCCAAAAGTCCTAACAAATCCAAAGTCATAATTCTTCAGCCCCTCTCAGGCCAAACTAACATCTACCTCTTCTCCAGCAGAATTCCCCACGTGGCCTCCCTCCCCCAGGGACTCTGGCAGGTTACCTCTGGTGTCTCCCAGTTACAAGCCCTGTCCCAGGACTCCTCTCACAGGGGCCAAACCAACCTGCTTCCCAAGGGTTTCTTCTATCCATTCTAGGTCCTAACTCGGGACTTCGCCCAAGAGAGTCTACTCTGCTCCCTGGGGGTTTCTTCTCTCTCCTTATTCCCTTCCCAGGAGCCAGTGTTTACATGTAGACTCTCTGGTTGGGAGGCCTAGGCCAGCTCTCTTCTCAGAGCCTAATGACAGGAGCGCCACCACTTTCTCCCTTCTCCAGGGGTCCTGATGGTTCTCTTGTGGCTGTCACTGTCAATGCTGAGCCCTCGTTCAGGGCTTGTCCCCACCCAGGGCTGCTCTACCTCCTGTGGGCTCCTCCCAGCCTGCAGCAGCTGCAGCACCTTGCTTGCAAGCGCTTCCTTCTCTCACCTTTCCGTTTAAGGAACTTTTCCTTTACACCAGTGGTTCTCAAAGCTGGTCCGCCGCTTGTTCAGGGAAAGCCCCTAGTGGGCCGGGCCGGTTTGTTTACCTGCTGCGTCCGCAGGTTCGGCCAATCGCGGCTCCCACTGGCCACGGTTCGCCGCTCCAGGCCAATGGGGGCTGCGGGAAGTGGTGTGGGGCCAAGGGATATGCTGGCCACCCTTCCCGTAGCCCCCATTGGCCTGGAGCAGTGAGCCTCAGCCAGTGGGAGCCGTGATACAGGGCCGCCGGGGGGGGGGAGGGGGAGGCAAGTGGGGCAATTTGCCCCAGGCCCCACAGGGGCCCCCACGAGAATATAGTATTCTATAATATTGCAACTTTTTTTAATGGAAGGGGCCCCTGAAATTGCTTTGCCCCAGGCCCCCTGAATCCTCTGGGCGGCCCTGCCGTGATCAGCCGAACCTGCAGACAAAGCAGGTAAACAAACCAGCCAGCCCGCCAGGGGCTTTCCCTGAACAAGCGGCGGACCGGCTTTGAGAACCATTGCTTTACACTATTCTAGCTCAGCTGTTCCATTGCTATTAGCTAAAGCGGCAGCACTGCCTGCTCTCAGGTGTAGCCCACAGGGTCGTTGTGAGCCAAAGTAGGCCCTAATTCTCCTGAAGGGCCATTGGACCCATGACAGCCTAATAAAAATAAGGCCCAAACCATAATCCACACCACTCAGGCTGTCTTGCAGCTAGCAGACCGCTAAGTGTGAGGTTGAGATTAGGATTCCACTGGGTGGAAGGGGAATGTTATATACAGGCAGGTGTTTGTCACCACCAGTGCCCTCTATTGAACCTGTTCAAGTGTGTGACCATGTTATGCAGAGGTCTTCAGAGGATATAAACACTGCTTCAGCTGAGATTGTCCTTGGTTTACTTGGTGGCGGCCTGTGGGGTTTTGGAGCAGGATTCCCCATGCAGCCTGGGAGTGGTTTAGCATGCTGGAATGCTGTCAGTCTCTCTGCACTTCTAGATCTTATGTGGGAGAGGGGAAACTTCTCCATATGCTTTGCAACCAGGGAGCCATTTCCTGTTAGCCCTCTCCTATCCAGGCCATCTCATGTCAAAGGACTCAGCGGGTTTCCTCCAACTTGCTGATCAGGTGATTCTGTCTCAGATACAGAAATCTATGGCACGGCCCCAGGTCTGCAACCTGATGGCCAGACACTAGAGCTGACTTAATCCTTAGCCTAATTGGGCAATCAGATGTGTGTCCTGCATGTTATTGCTAACCTTGATCTGGGACTCTTGTGATCTGTAGCAGTCGGTGTGCCAGTGAGCCATACAGAGACTTCCCCCTGGTTGCAGTAGTAGAAGCCAGGCAGCTGGCCTTCTCCTTGTGGTGAGCTGCTCTCAGCAGTTGTTCAGGTACCTTTCCTCCTCGCTGCTTTGCTGTCATGCAGCTGCAGATGCTGACTCGGGCTTTCTCTGCCCACAGGAGCCATCTTCAGCAACCAAAAGTCTGCATAAAAGCCAGTCCCGGACCATCCTGCAGGGACTCCGCTGGCTCCTGCACACCATTGCCATCAACTACAGTGTCCTGAGTGCCCGGGTACAACAAGACAGCCCTGACCAGCCAGCCCCCCGAGAGCAAGAGGCTCCCAGGAGAGCAGCGCGGGCCCACAGCCAGACTCGGGGGGAGAGGTTTGCTCTATGGAGAGTTAATATTCTGGGCCATGCCCTGCCCTTGGTCTGACATCAGTGTATTTTAACTGTGGATCTGGGTGCAGACAGCAAGCCTAGAAGAGGGGGATTCATTCTTCAAAGCCAAAGGCTTCCCTCCCTCCCCAGAGCTAACACATTTCTCACTCTTCTCCTCTCCCTTACACCGGTGTAAGTCAGGAATAACTCCAGTGAAGCCCAAGAAGTTACCCCAGTGAAAATGGGAGCAGAATCCGGCTCCAGAATGACACTGCACCACAACGAAAAGTGATGCGCAGAGCTCTGTAATTATAGGACTCAAGAGGGTCTTCACGATACGCAGTAACTAACCCATTTCTAGTGATATTGGAGTAGCTGCGAACTTCCTCACACACTTTCATCTCCCAGCAGGGGCTGTGCCAGCATCTCCCCTGGTGCCTCGAGAGCTGAGCCCGTGTGTGCAAACCAATGGGGAGAGGGGTGGCTATATTCAAAACTGGGAGCATGAAAGAGGCGGCCATTTTAGCTGGCATGGTGACAATGGGGTGTGGGGAGGCGCTTCCCTGGGACTAGACTGGGAGAGAGAACTTTGGGCAGGGCATGTACATGGGGCCTCTGGTAAAGCCCTCAGGGAACAAGAGCTGGTGCATGAGGTGTGGCTGCTGTAGGTCCGTGAGCGGGGAAAGTGATGGATGCCTGCTGGGAGCTGACAGAAGCACCTTCAGGCATACAGGGGGCTCTTGGTCACATGCTCAGCAGAGGCCTGGGACTGGCTCCATGGAATGGCTGGCTGGAGAGATGCTACAGAATGTTAAGGGCCTCCGTCAGCATCCGAGGACCTGCGCCTCTGAGCTCCTCAACGGGGCAAGAGCGTGGGGACAGGATTTCATTTGGGCCTGTAGTTCATAGGCATCCACGCTCTGGTCTCTGAATTCCTGCTGTCTGGTGTTGTGCCCTTCTTTGCCACAGCCGGGCAGCAAGGGACACTGTAGCTAAGGGCTGTGGGAGGAAAAATATTGTGGCGGGGGTGTGTGTGTGTCAATTTATTAATTTGTCTGTGCTTTCCTGTCCCTAGGCCATTGCTGGCCAGAAGGGAGAGTTCCCAAGAAGGAAGCGCCAAGATAGGGGAGTACAAACTACTACAGCCCATCCAGAACACACTCTCACAGGTAACCTGCCCCTCCACTCATTCCTCACCCCTTAATATAGCTGTTCCTGTGACTATTCTGCCAAACAGTGACTGACCTCTGGTAATGGACTTCCCCCACCTCTTCTCCGCACAGAAGGAGGAAGGCCCAAAGGTACTCAAGAGAAGGAGAAAGAAAGGGAAGGTGAAGAAGAAAGGGTTGGTGCAGTGTGGGAGCATGGCTGATGAAGAGGAAGGGAAAGCTTGGGGAGGAGAGAACAGAGCAAGTGCTGCAGTTGGGCTCCTCCACAGCAACAGAGTTGGCCAGGAGAAACCACTCCCCCAGGGGACAACTCCTCTCCCAGCAGGTAACAGTATTAGTAGGCGTCAGACTGAAAGAAGGTTCTAGCAGGGGTGCTGGAACAATTTGTATAGTGGGAGTGCTGAGAGCCATTGAACCAAACTGTAAACCCTGTATATGATGGAAACCACTTCAAGCCAGGGGAATCCAAACAGCACATCTCACACATGTAAACACTAAGGCTGTGTGAAAAGTTTAGCTGGAACCCAGCACCCACCTCAAGTCAGGGTGGGTCCAGTTTATAACCAAACCTGCAAACAATCAGAGCAGGTCCATCCAGGGTGTTCCCATCACATGGGCCCTCTAAATTTCACCTAGCATGTTATTTTTAGATGGTGGGTTGTGACGGTGGCCTGATTCCTGCCCTCTCCTGGGGTTTGTGACCTTCTCTACTAAGCCTGTCCCCCAAATCCTGCAGTGGTATCAAGAAGTACATGTACCTGTTCCCCATTCCCTCACCATGGAATTGGAAATCCTTGTGCTGCAGTCACTAATATACTAAACAGGTGGTAGCAGATCCCTATAAGGCTTTACTGCCATAGCTAAGGAACTTTTTTTGTGGATTTTTGTGGAATTTGAACCTCTGAGTCAACCTGCTTTGGGTGCCGTGGTGTAGGCCACCTGCCAATGAACCTGTCACTGTCTGGTCCATGTGACATAAATATCTGCAGAACTTATTCTTCTCTAGTGAGTATGTAGTTACCCCCTGAATGCCACATGCTAAGCATAAAAACATAGGAACGGCCATACTGGGTCAGATCAATGGTCCATCTATCCCAGTATCCTGTCATCTAACTGCAGCCAATGCCAGATACTTTAGAGGGAGTGAACAGAACAGGGCAATTTATTGAGTGATCCATCCACTGCCATCCAGTCCATTTCTAGCAGTCTGGGGTTTAGGGACACCCAGAGCATGGGGTTGTGTCCCTGACCATCTTGATTAATAGCCATTGATGGACCTATCCTCCATGAACTTATCTAATTCATTTTTTGAATCCAGTTATACTTTTGGCCTTCACAGCATCCCCTAGCAATGAGAGCCACAGGTTGACTGTGCATTATGTGAAGAAAGACTTCCTTTTGTTTGTTTTAAACCTGTTGCCTGTTAATTTCATTGGGTGACTCCTAGTGCTTGTGTTATGTGAAGGGGTAAATAACACTTCCTTATGCACTTTCTCCACCCGTCGTGATTTTATAGACCTCTATAACATCCCCCCTTAGTTGTCTCTTTTCCAAGCTTTACAGTCCCAATTTTTTTTAACTGCTCCTCATATGGAAGCTGTTCCATATCCTTAATCATTTTTGTTGCCCTTCTCTGTACCTTTTCCAATTCTAATATATCTTTTTTGAGATGGGACAGCCAGAACTACATGCAATATTCAAGGTGTGGGCGTACCATGGAGTTATATAGTGACATTATGATATTTTCTATCTTAGTATCTATCCCTTTCCTAATGGCTCCTAACATTGTTACCTTTTTTGACTGCCTCTTCACATTTGAGCAGATTGTTTCAGAGAACTATCCACGATGACTCCATGATCTCTTTCTTGAATGGTAACAGCTAATTTAGACCCCATCATTTTGTATGTATCATTGGTATTACATTTTTCAAGGTGCATTACTTTGCATTTATCAACATTGAGTGTCATCTGCCATTTTCTTTTGCAGTCACGCAGTTTTGTGAGATCCCTTTTTGTAATTCTTTGCAGTCTCCTTTGGACTTAACTATCTATAGTAATTTTGTATCATCTGCAAACTTTTCCACATCACTATTTATCCCTTTTTCCAGGTCATTTATGAATAGGTTGTACAGCACTGGTTCTCATACAGATCCCTAGGTGATCCTGCTATTTACCTCTCCACTGTGAAAACTGACGGCTTATTCCTACCCTTTGTTTCCTATTTTTAACCAGTTACTGAGCTATGAGAGTTTCCACTTATCCCATGACTGCTTACTTTGCTCCTTTGCTTTGCTAGGGTTACCATATTTAAAAAATAAAAAAAGAGGACACTCCACGGGCCCTGGCCCCGCCCCTTTCCCACCCCTGGCCCCACCCAACTCCGCCCCTTCCCCGCCCCTACCCCAAAGTTCCCGCCCTAACTCCCCCTCCTCCCTCGCAGCCACGCGAAAAGGGCTGCCCGAGCGCTACCGGCTTCACGGTTTGCTGGGCAGCCTCTAGACCCTGCGCCCCCAGCCGGCACTTCCCCAGCGCAGCTGGAGCCCGGGAGGGGAAGCGCCCAGCCGGGGGCGCAGGGTCTGGAGGCTGCCCGGCAAACCGTGAAGCCGGTAGCGCTCAGGCTTCGGGCAGCCCCCAGGAAAATACTGATGTTCTCAGAAAGCTGTTGGGCAAAGTTTTCCCACCTAGTGTAATGACCACAAAAAATCCGTGTCCCACTGTTAAATCCAACTTCATTTCATTTAATCCAGGGCAGAGCACAAAGAAGAAAAAGAAGAAAATTAAAAATAAAATCAAGTCCCAGGAGGCCTCATTGGAGCCACAGAATGAAGGAATCTCGGGTACCTTTGGTCAGTATTTCCCAGGTGAAGTGTGTATGCAAGAGGGGATGCTGTACATCTGCTGTCCATGTTCCTGCAAAGAGTGGGAAGGGTTCGATCTGCTATCGTCTGTGTTTCTTGGATCAGGAAAGCTTGTGAAATGTTATGGCTTGTTTGTATTGCGTCAAGTTACTGGTGGATTTCAAACTGACCATGGGGAATCCTCTTTGCAGGTTTCAGAGTAGCAGCCGTGTTAGTCTGTATCGGCAAAAAGAACGAGAAGTCCTTGTGGCACCTTAGAGACTAACAAATTTATTTTGTTTATTTAATGCTGTCTGCAGTCAGTATCTTCCCCCAACTTGTTGCTGGCCTGAGGAATGGTTGGGAATGGTATGTTCAGTCAGCAAGGAGTTGTGAGAGGTATTGGTTTGATTTGTTTTGCAGCATAGCTTGTAGCCTGGGATGGTCTCAGACTGACCAGTGATGGTTATCTGGGTGGGTATTGGAGATCAAGGTTTAAAAGGGATAGCCAGATGTGCCCAGAGGATACTGAGAACATACAATGGTTCAAGGCAACTCTGATACTGTGACATACCAGCATATAATCCAGACTAGTCAGTGGCTGTGTCATCCCTGCCTTGTAACCTGGGGTGCCTTGCCATGCCTTGCTCCCGTAATCTCCAACTGGAGTGCTCATAACCAGCCACCAGCAGGCAGGCCACTCCCAGATGTGGCTGTGTAACTGCTGCCTGCCAGTCATACCCTGGTTCTCACCAGCCTGGTTATACTACAGGATGACCCCAACACACTCCCAGTCCTGGACTTTCCCCCAGAAATGTACATCTTGTACTGTCCGGCCCTCTCCAGGACTGTCCGCAAATATTAAGTTCATTATTCCTTTAAGGGAATAATATACATCAGTGTATCATGATAAATGAAGTTACCCAGACATTTTAACACAATGGATTGGATGAAACAATAAAACAAGTTTATTAGCTACAAAGAGAGATTTGAAGTGAATACAAATAATGAGGCATAACTATCTATAGTAATTTTGTATCATCTGCAAACTTTTCCACATGACTATTTATCCCTTTTTCCAGGTCATTTATGAATATGTTGTACAGTGTTTATTAGCTACAAAGAGAGATTTGAAGTGAATACAAATAATGAGGCATAAAAGTCAGAAATAGTTACATGAAAAATAAAAATAAAATGCTTACTAGTGCGTAATTTAACAAACTGTATTAGATTCTAGCAACATTTCTCACCACATACTTTCAGCAAGATTATTGACCAAACTCTTCAGGTCAGGAGCCACCCCCCCAGAGTCCAATGGCTGTTTCCTTTTGTCTTCTGAGGTTCAGAGAATGTGATGGGCAGGGAGAAAGTGATCCTTTGGGGGTGTTTTCTCCTCCTTTTATTAATTTCAGTCCCCCTCTTGGAAAAACATTTCCAGCTGAGAACCAGGAAATAGTCTATGTAGAAGGATGTTCCCTGCTGGGGTTTTTTTTTTGCACCTGTTAGAGCTTTCTTTGTTTTCCCTTCCTGCTTGATGACTCTGTTTACTGCTTAAATGCAAATTAAGGCAAACACACATTCCTTTGTTTAGGACAGACCTGTTTACCAACTTCTGCTTGGGCGGGGCTGTTGGGTTTGGAACGGGGAAATCTTATAACTTCACATACACTGTTGCCACACGTATGTTATCAGGACAATACTGACCAGTGAATTACGAGTTTTCAAATGATGCCTTACAAGGCATACCTTGTACATAGATCATTATAATAGTGTGTCAAGTGTGAATACAGGGGTGTATTCCATCACAGATGCCCTCTATTCCTAGGGGTGAAATCTGATTTGAGGGCTTGAGAGTCAGGCTGAAAAGGAATGGGGATAGGGGACAGCCTGTCCAGAAAGGAGGGGAATACTTCAGACCTTTAGCTGGGACTGCTGTCAAGGGATTGTCAGACATCAAAGTTCATTTGATTTTCCAAAGTTATATCTCAAAAGTCTGCACCGGGTGAGTGACTCTACTCTCTCAGAGAACTTTTCCCCGAAAGAAGGCAGCTGCCTTTTTTTATGATGGTGGCTGGTGAATGATATAGATGTTTTTGCATACATTAGCTGACGTGGATTGTTAATGCTGTTTGGCCTTTCCACACGAGGGATGGGAGAATGTCTTTAAGGTTATTAGACAGGATTTTGGAGGTTATTTTGGCTCAGATGGGCAGTTTTTGCTTAGATGAACAAAGAGCCCCTTTAGTCATTTTCTTGCTGGACTTAAAACTACCCTTTCTTTAGAGCTAGCTTATGTGTGGGTGAGTGGTGGCAGCGAGCCAAGCAGGAAGCTACCCCAGCCACTGATGCAGAATGAATTCCTTTTCTAGAGCATCTTGCTGCACTTGCTGGAAAGAAGTAGATTTGCTCCTGCTCCTCTTTATTTGAAGAGGGCTGGAGAAAAGAGCGGATAGGGAGTTATGAATTATGGGTAAGCTTTGTTGTCTGGGAAACAAGCAAGGTCTGTGCTCAGCATTATCATTCGTGGGGGGGTGTCTCATGCTGTCATAGGGCCTGATCCAAAGCTTATCAACGTCAATGGGAGCCTTTCTATTGACTACATAGATTGTAAGGCCAGAAGAGATCATTGTGATCATCTAGTGAGTCTGTCCTCCTGCATAACACAGGCCAGAGAACCTCACCCCATAACTTCAGCATCAAGCCCAGAACTTCTGATCTAATGGGCTTTGAATCAGGCCCATAATATACTGTCCAGGAACAGGAGTCCTGCACGCTGGTCATCAGTTTTGCCCCAAGAGGTTGGTGGGTTCTCATTGTCTTGCTCAGCAGCAGGATTTAAAATCTTTCCTTTGTTATTAATGATGGGTTTTTATTTTCTCTCAGACTTGTATCGAAGGGCAATGCTGGCTCTGAAAATGAGGCAAGAGCGGAGGAAGCAGCCTTCTGCTATCACTCCCTGAAGAAAAGCTCCATATTGTTGACCGCATAAATGTGGTCTCCACCAGGCATGAGAAGTTGATGGCAGATTGTTCTGTGCTGTTATTGCTGTTGGTGTGAGGTTCTATGTTGCTCTCTAACGGTGCAATGTATCTGTGCTCCCACTCAGAACCTCCCAAGTCCCAAAGGGTATCCACGAGCATGTGCAGTCAGTATCAGCTCAGGCAGTGAGATTGTCTAACCTAATGGAAACTCTGCTCGAGAGACAAGATTCTCAGGGCTTGTAGGCTACAAAGGTGGAGTCTCAAGCAGCAAGTCTTCAAAATATAAAGACCAATATTTTCCTCCTAGGGACTGTGGGAATGTCTGGGATTCACACGTGTAAGCTGAAATGTCACATGTGTAAAGAATTCTGCCAGCAACCTGGATGCAAACATCTGAATAAAAGGAAATGGAACATTTCTACACCTGACCTGTTTTCTGTGTCTCTTCTTAATGTTCTTTCTCAAACTGTCTTACCCTGTTGGGGTGGGATAGGGGGAACCAGACCAAGTCCCCTCATCCAGTAGGCCAGGGAAGAGGGCTGTGCATGATGAATCTGTGGACCCGAAAGAGGGCAGTTGGTGTCCATACAAGCCTACCTTCACAGGGCTGTAGGTTGAATGATTATCCAACTGGAAGATATTTTTTTCCAGTGACAAGATCAGGAAGGGAGTTTTGGATCCCCTGTGAGGGGGCCTCACTGAATGTTCAACCATGCCAACTGAGGCTTTGTTTCTGGAGTCCTCTCCTGCAGGGACCAGCTGGTGTAGGATAAGTAAAGCTGTGTGTCATCTGCATATTGCTGTCACTTGAGTCCACGTTGTCTGATCAGTTCACCTAGTGAGTGCCGGTCAATGTTCAGTGGGACTGGAGAGAGAATTGATTTTTGTGGGAATCGACAAGGGAAAGGTCTGTTGGCAGAGGTGCACTTTACTCTGAGTCATCCCACAGAAATGAATGGGACTATTCATGGAGTAACACATTACTCAGCGTGAGCAAGAGTGGCAGAATCTGGCCCACAATGTTTCCATGGATAAAATGGCTTGGCTGGATGGGATCATAACCCTGTCTAGCATGTTCAACTCCCGTGTACTGCAGACTCCAACGTGTGTATCGTCACACATCTTTTATCTGTTGTCTCCTTATGCATAAAGCCATAACCACACACATCCTGTGAAATATTATTGCGCATAAGATTGGCATGTATGATGTGATAACAGCCCAGGAGTGTGTGGCTGAATCTAAGACATGCTTGCATACACTATAAATGCATCACGGAGAGGACTAGATTTTTGTTTTTCAGCTGTTACTGTTTCAGCACTGTGTATATATGCATGGCTCTGAAACCTCTGAAGCAGGGGTGGGCAAACTTTTTGGCATGAGGGCCACATTTGGGTGGGAAAATTGTATGCAGGGCCATGAATGTAGGGCTGGGGGAGGAGGTTTGGGTGCGGAAGGGAGTGTGGGGGGTGTGGTGTGCAGGAAGGGGCTCAGGGCAAGGGGTTGGGGTACAGGAAGGATGCAGGGTGCAGGAGGAGGCTCAGGGCAAGGTGTTGGGGTGCGGGAGGGGGTGCAGAGTGTGGGAGGGGGCTCAGGGTAGGGGGTTGGAGTGCAGGAGGGGTGCACAGTGTGGGAGGGGATTCAGGACAGAGGGTTGGGGTGCAGGAGGGGATGCAGAGTGCGGGAGGGGGCTTGGGGTGCAGGATGGGTGTGGGGTGTGGCAGGGGGTTGGGGTGCAGGAGGGGTGCAGGGTGCGGCAGGGAGCTCAGGGCAGGGGGTTGGGGTGCAGGAGGGGTATGGGGTGTGGCAGGGGGTTGGGGTGCAGGAGAGGGTGCAGAGTGTGGGAGGGTGCTCAGGGCAGGGGGTTGGGGTGCAGGATGGGTGTGGGGTGCGGCAGGGGGCTCAGGGCAGGGGGTTGGGGTGCGGGCTGCAGGGACGTGGTGCTGGCCACTTCTGGGAGCGGCACAGGGCTGGCAATCCCGCGGGCCGGATCCAAAGCCCTGACTGGCTGGATCTGGCCCGCGGACCATAGTTTGCCCACCCCTGCTCTGAAGCCACCACAGAGATGCAAAGGCACCAGCTGGATGCTTTTGACATGAAATAGTAACAGCATATTGAAGGCGTATGGTGGTTCCACTATGTTATGAACAAGGATGTAAGGCACTGGATCAACCAGCCACCAACGTCTTCTCAAATGACTATGCCGGCTCAGGTGGCTTGGTCATCTGCTCGGTGTGCCAGGATCCCTACCACCCCTCCAGCTTTATGTGGTTAATCCAACAAAAGCTGGTTGGCGAAGATCTTGAGGAAGGTCTTGCATATGCTGGAGGGATGTTGTGGCTTCTGATCTCACCTGCCTCAGCCTTAACATAGACATAACTATAACATTGGTAGGAGCCAGACTCTCTGGAAAGAGGTGAACTGAATTGTGCACTCAGCGCTCCACGAGCAGGAGAGTGTTTGTACAGTGTGTTCACAAGTTCTCAGGTCCTATTGGTCAACAAGAACTGCTGGGGCAATTCAAAGTGGCCTGTTAATTGGGAGACAAACAGGAGCATTATCTGCCCTCAGTTAAAAGAAAAGGGGTATTGAAATTCCCTTTGGTTACGTGCTCTTAATTGTGTGCCTGAGGCCTGATGAGATGTGGGGTCCAAGAGACATTCTGGCAGGGTCTGCACCGCTGATAAATAGATGACATCAGGGCTATCTAACTGCTCATGGCTACAGCATGGTTGTCTCTGGTACATATGACAGCAGGGCTCATCCTAACAAACACAGCTATACCAGCACCTGTCTCTCTGATGCAGAAGCCACAAAGCATTATGTTTACCAACGCAGCTAAATGTGCTGCATTAGCAGGGCCGGCTCCAGCATTTCTGCCGCCCCAAGC